TGTCCCAACAGGTAATATCAATGCCAATTCTATAAGCCAATATACCAAAGGAAAATATGTGTGATAATTCATCCCCACCATCTTCTTTGCAAGACTTCCAAGATTGTAGACTTCATTCAATCTCATATCATAAATGTAATTTTGAAGTTCATGAATAAGCTCAACTCGATCACTAGAACTAAAATCTTCTGAATATAATACAGCAAGTTCCAATAGCCGATCTTGATCAAAACTCGCAAAGCAATTAGAAGGATCAAGACATATTACACATCTTAGTAAATTTGTGTTTGTCTCTGTAAAGTGTCTATCCATTTCCACAGCAAGAGTATCAATCACCTAAAATAAAATAAAGAATAATTATAATAATAATACTCCCTCCGTCCCCCATAGATCTTCCCATTAGCCCTTTTTATTTGTCCCACATAGATCTTCTCATTACCTTTTTTAACATTTAAAATACCACAACTACCCTCATTTACTTTATTTATTACACCTTTTCCACCTTATTTAATACACCCCACCCATTTTCATTAAGGGTATTTTGGTAAACTTTCACCTTTTTTCAACTCTTCTTAAAAACCGCAAAAAGTCAAAACGAGAAGATCTTAGGGGGACGGAGGGAGTAACTTATTTAATATGTTATGATATTAAAATACTTCCAAAAATGATATCAACATTTAAATATAATAAGAGTAATATACCTTTGAAAAGATCTCTCCACGAAAATGCACATAATTTGTCATGGGTTCACCACCTTTCATCTTCTTTCTTGATCGCCCACGAAGATAATCTTCCATGTTAGGTACATCAATTGCATGTTCTTCACAAAATTCACTAACTTCCTTCAAAAAGGTATCCCAACCATGATATCTAAAATCTTGTAAGTTCTTTTTTACTGCACCAATCACATTCAAAGCACAACTAATATTTTGATCTTGTGCTTGTAATATCTTTGATAAGGTGTTAGTCATACCTAGAACTTTCAACATAAACTTTCCAATAAAAACGAACTCAAAAGAATCCATTTTATCAAGAATACCACCAGCACTGTTTTTAATTTTGGGTGTTTCACCATGCTTGTGTAACGAATTTAGCAATGTACCAATAGCATTCCACATATCAAAGAGACGAACAAGAGTTTTGTAGTGAGAGCCCCAACGTGTATCACCTGGTCGAGCTAAAGATGTTGCTTGATTTTGCCCCCTACCAGTTGACAATTCACCTATTTCTATGCGATGCAAAGTTTCCTCCTCGTGTACTTGAAGGAGAAAATCCTTTCGTTTGCATGAGGATCCAATTGTATTAACAATCATCAATAGCTTTTCAAAGAAATCAAATACGCTCTCCTTATCTTGTGCAGCCATAACAATAACTAACTGAAGTTGGTGGGCAAAACAATGAATGTAGTATGCATTCTTGTTTTCATTAAGAATAAGTGTTTTCAACCCATTAATTTGACCGTGCATGTTTGAAGCGCCATCATAACCTTGACCTCTTAGTCTTGAAAGGGACAATCCATGTTTTGCAAAAAATTCATCAATTGATTTTCTAAGAAACTTTGCAGAAGTCTCCTCAACATGAATTAATCTAAGAAAACGTTCTATAACCTCCCCTTTATCATTCACAAATCTCAAAATTACTGACATTTTCTCTTTCACAGAGCAATCTCGAGCTTCATCAATCAAAAGAGCAAAAATTTTCTTCCTATCTCATTCAATATGACATTTCTCGTTTCCATTGCACAACTTTCAATAATATCTCTCTGAATGGTAGGAGAAGTCATTTGATTATTTTTAGGAGCATTTGTTTGCATAGCTACATTCGTCTTACAAAACCAAGATATGAGCTCAAGAAAATTACCTTGATGGATTGATTCGGGAGATTCATCATGTCCCCTCAAAGCTAAGCCCTCCCCCAAAAGTTATCGAGCCACTTTTACAACAGTTGCTAGCCGAGTACGATAATCATCTTCAATGGCATCAGTGTTAGCCGTAAAGACATAATCTATGTTCTCTATTTGATTAAGATATTGTTGAACTTTAATTCTACAATAAGAATGAGAACTTTCTTTGGTTCCTTCATGGTCAACAAATGCTTTTGGACAATCTTTCCAATTGTTAAACCCAACTTCATTAAAAGCCTTTGATCCATTTTTGTTTGTATTCGAAAACAAATAACAATGCAAACAATATGCTCTATCCCTGGCGACACTATACTTCAACCACTTAAACTTATCAAACCAATAACTTTGAAATCGTCTTTTGTTCTTGCCCGTCAAACTTTGTGGAAATTTTTCCATCGATGGCTTGCAAGGACCTTTTGCTAAGTATCTTCTCCCTTATTACATCTCTAATTTCCAATGGAAAATTATTAGTTGGTTTTCGTAATCCCGGATCAGCAATAATATCATCATTTGAAATCACATTTTCTTTCTCTATAGAAGAAGAATCTTCTTTTTCATTGTCTCTATCACTTACAAATTATAAATTCTTCTTTTGTCTAATAACAAATTTATCCATCTCACGTCTCAAAATTTTCTGATTCAACAATAAAGTAACAAAATAAAATTTCAATAACCTTAAAACAACAATTTCATATTTCTTAATCTCTAGAACTTGAAATTACATTAAGATTTATCAAATATTTAAATATTAACAAACACACTAGAATCACGAAACAAAATAAATATTCAAAATTCAAAACATAAATTAGCAATATTCAAAAATTTCAAATATTAAGAAACAAATTTTAAAATTTGATAATTAAAATTTACATATACCTAGACAATGAGAGAAGATCGGAAGTTTGGATGAAGAAGCACAGAAGAATTCAAGAATCCTTCGACACTGCGTTTGGATTTCTTCTCCAATCTCCAGTGCTGCTCTTTTGACTTTCGAGTTTCGCCGACCGTGGAGAAGGAATAATTGCTTTCAGCCTTTCACCGTTTCTGCTACTGCCAATTGCGCCACTCCTTTTTTTGGACAATTGGGCATTTGGGCAATTGGGCTGTTGGGCCGAGTATTTGGCAAGGTTAGAATAACTTTTTTAAACCCAATATCAAAACGATGTCGTTTTGCATCTTTTTTATTGGCAACTGCTCCTTCTTCTTATCTTCTTCGATCGGTCACTGGAGCAGTGGAGCATACCTGCGGCGCTGCGACAATTGGGGGGCAAATCTGGCCTCCCATCGCCGATTGGGTACACTAACGCTAGTTCGCTAGAATTTCGCCGGGGGACACTTGCCCAGGCATGCCCCCCCCCCCCTCCTCCGCCCCTGACCATGCCTAGAGATGAATCACCCTCTAATAAGGTTCCCACACTCTGGCCACTGAACCTTGTGGTTCCGTGGGAGTTGACTTTCGTTGGGCCGTCACACGATGAGGGAGCATGAATCCCGATGCCCGAAGGGGGATTTGAATGGGCCGAGCGCGGTCTGTCCTTGTAACGGCCAAGCCCAACATTACAGGCCTGGGGGGCCGAGCCTATATCTCCATCATATAGTTATTGAATTGTTATTAAGTTGGGATATATATATATATATATATATATATATATATATATATATATATACATATATATATATATATATATATATATATATATATATATAGTATTGTTGACTTGGGTTTTTGCCTTACTTTATGAGGGGCTTGGTTTGGTCCTCCCTCTTGTAATGTGTTATGCTTTCATTATATCAATAAAATTAGGTGTTGCTATATCTAATCCCATTTTTGCTATATTCATTCCATTAATGTAGGGTAAAATCGATAACTTTGACTTTAAAAATACAAAACCAGAAATTTTGATACAAGATCATTTGTGTTGTGGCTCGTCAAACTAATATTAAATACAGTAGTGTTAAATTAGTTTACATGGATAAAAAGTTGTCTATATGATTGTATTGAGACAACTATCTTTTAGAAATAGTAGTTATACACAAGTCGTCGTACTACCATTGACATATAATTAACTTAATTTAGTTTACACAACAATAATTACAAGTTTTTGTTCAATAATAGTAGCCTTACGTCAAAGTCAAACAACTGTTAAATATTGTTGTATTGTCTTCATTTACACTACATCTAAAAACAATAGTCTGTTACATGACTTTTATGAGCAAGAGTCTAAAATTAACATGTCAAACTATTGTCAACAACGAGTAGTATTTAATCGATTCAGACAACTGTGGGAACAAAAATAGTGTTCTCACATGGCATAAACTACAATTAATAGATTACAGTTTCTCATATTTCCAAAAATAGTTATCGGTGTTAGACAACCGTTTTGTAGTTAACAGAAACACATAATAATCTGTTTTTTTTATTACTGTTTTTTGCCAGATAGTAGTCTATCAGTACTAGTCTGATGCTGTGGCGTAGTGATGTTTCGCTATAACGCGTCTGTCTATTTCGAAATACTTCGACTTTTTTTAGATATTCTCAAAATACGTGGTTATATGTTTTAATATAATTTTGAATGTTATTTTTTTTAATGTTATTGGATATTAGATCACGAACCAATTTTTGGTGACAATTTACTCTTTGTAATGAATATGATTTTATGTTTTGTCATATTTATATTGAAGAATATTTTTTTATTTACTTTTTATATTACAATTATATTTAAATTATATCTGTTAATGTTAAAATTTTATTCCTTCTCCTCTCTCTCTAACCAAATAAAGTAATATAAAACCTTTCCTTCCATTTCCCTAACCGTACAAGGTAAATAGAATCCATCCCATCCCTTTCTATCCCTCCCCAAACCAACCAAACATGCCCTAAGAGTTTTTTTTGGGAATAAAGAAGTATATTTTAAGAGATATTGTTAGTCAAACATTAGACTCAAAAAACAAATCAGACACTTAAAAAATGAAGTACCCTATAGCAGTGAACCATTTTTAAATTTAACTTAGTCCAGAAACACTGATTATTTTTGTTTTGGTTTCAGAGATACACATCACTGAATTGGACCTACATTTCTGTCAGTTGTATCTACACAGGTAACACAACGCATATACCAGCAAAAAAAAAGATACCGTCCATCCTAAAGAAAAACCTATACACCAAGTCCTAAAGAAGAATTTACAAGCTGGCGCCAAAGCTATATATGTGGTCATATATATTGGGCAAAGAACTGCGTACCAAGAACACCATGCATGAATCAATCAACCATATGCTAATTAAGGGAACCGCTTTGCAGGAAATCGATTAAGCCGGACGACCGTCGCCCGCAATGCAACTAGCAGTTGAAATGAGGACAGACGGACAGGATGATAATGAGAATCAAGAGTGCAAAAATACCCGCCACAACCAATTTTATCTTCATGTTTTCAAACCACATCTTCCTCTTCATCTTGGTCCCTTGCTTCCGGAAATCCTGTGCCTGGGAACATCCTCAAAACCAAGAATGCATCATATTCAATGGTTTATGCCGAGCAAGAGATCATAGAAATTAGATGTATGAAGAATCCAGCAATACGATGCGTTTACCTTTTTCACTCGATCACTCTATTAACCTGTGCCTATTTACTGCAGTTTTTTTTTCTTTTCTTAATTAAGGATATGTTCAATGCTTTTTGGGGTCAATAATATATACAGGTTCAGAGTGCTAGGAGACTAACCTGCGATCGTAGGTTGTCAGTTTTATCTACTAAAAGCTCTATCTTCTCACCACGGTCCAGAACCTGAGCGCCAAATACATATGTTACTACAGACACATGCATATGATGAATAAACAGCTTATTCATGTGGGTTTCCATCATGTAAGTTCCATAAAATATGATAATAAAGTCACAACAAGATTTTCCCTACCTTCTCGATATTTCCCATCATCACTCCTTTAACTTCATTAACCTGAGCCTTAACCTTTGCAATTTTGCTCATTTCCTCTGGATGTTCAGCACAATACCTCATGTGCTCTTTCAGTTTTGGCCTGTAGTAGAAAGAAATTAAGTTAAATTTTTACAGTGAGTAGAAAGAAAAAGATCAGAGATGTCAAATTTTATGGGAGAAAAAGTAGAAACAGAAGCTACCCATATTCCTTTTTCAGGCTATTGGCACCTGCAGTAGCACCTTTCCCTTTACCATATTTCTTGTAGAAATCATCCTTTACACGCTCTAAGAAAGCAATTGGAATTTGCCTTCCAGCAGATTCAGCAGCAACAACACAGTAGGCTGCAGTGCACAAGAGTGAGGGATAACATGGAAAAGAATAAATTCAGATAAAGCCTAAGCTGATCAAAGTAAACTATATGTACTAGTTAGAGGAAACTCACGTGACAAATATTATAGAACATGTTGAATACTAGTGGCCTTTTCTAAATTCAAAATCTTTAATCAAAGCAGGATGACTAATATGTTAATATTATTCTAAAATAAAATCAATAACCATAAGAACATAGTAAAATCCCATGAATAGGAAAGTGGCCAAGTGGGTGTATGCAGACCTTACCCCTATGTAAAAGGTACACCCCTACATAAAGGGTATATACTAGAGAGGTTGTTTCCAAAAGCCCCCAGCTCAAAGAATAGAACAGAAAACATGCATTACTAAAGTGAAACAAATAAACAGAGAAAGAACATAAAAGAGAGATCACAAAAAAAGAGGCCACAATACGACCAGCCGGACAATGCGACCATATCTTATCAGTATCTACACTACAACTCTAACATTTGACTTCCAAAGACTCCTATTAACGGTCATGTCCTTAGTGAGCCGTAGGAAACCCAAGAATGGGCATAATAAAATCAACAGTACATATGGAAAACTGATCACATCAAAATGGCTACCTTCTTTGCAAAAAAATAAAATAAAATAAAAACTCCCAAGTCCCAAAATGGCTACCTTCTTTGCGAAAAAGTCTCCTCCATGGGATACTATAGAATCTATTGTTTTAGAAACCGATAAGGTCTTTTTGAATTAATTTTGGTGAGATTTGTATGGTTTAAGAGGGATCGAGATGGCCCTTTTAGTATGCCTACCACCCTCAGTCAGCCCCATTCTGGCAGCTTTATGGTCGCAATCCATTCAAACCCATTTTCTACATATTGGTCCCAATTTAACTTGGCAGGTCAGAGTGAGAGCTTCTTGATTATGATAGTGATCTTGGCTGTTAAAATTCCGGCGGGTCAAGAACAACAGATAGAGTGTCGGGTAAAATTAACTACTTGCACATAAAGTCGGGATCCACAATTCTAACCCAAAAGCTTAAGCTGATAGGTAGGGCTTCACCGTTCTATATATGCTAGTGATACTCATCTTTATTTTCCAATGTGGGAACTCCAACACTCCCCCGCAAGTGGTAACTAGTCTGGCCTAGTTAGCACTTGGATAAACGGGTCTAGCATCTCAATCTCTTATAGCTAGCCCACACAACGGGCGGTGGCATCTCAATCTCTTTTTAGCCAACTCAGCCCAAACCACAGATGGGTAGCTCATTTTTGCTAAACCACATCCAAACAACCAAGAACAATCAAACCCGGACCGGACCTGCTCTGATACCAAGTTGAAATTCTGGCGGGCCAAGAACAACAGATAGAGTGTCGGGTAAAATTAACTACTTGCACATAAAGTCGGGATCCACAATTCTAACCCAAAAGCTTAAGCTGATAGGTAGGGCTTCACCGTTCTATATATGCTAGTGATACTCATCTTTATTTTCCAATGTGGGAACTCCAACATTGGCATCTTGAAACCACAAAGGGTTGTGTTTAAACTGCGTAGCACATGAAGTTTCAATATGATAAAAGGGACTTGGATCCTTTACACTGCGTGATTGGGTTTGGCTATGTGTTCATGCGTACCATTAGATCTTTTTTGTTCGAAGCCATCACAAACCTTTGCCAGGGCAATTTGGCTCCATTTTAATTGGTCCTTGGGTGTATTGCATTGAGCTGCCCCTCAATCGAATTCACATCTTTTATGTGTCTTTACTAAAATTCCTTGATGAGCATATCTCGTTGGTAATGGGGACTCTTCCTTGCCCTTCGTGGCACTTAAGTTATGGTTTGCTGGTTGGCCATCCTCTGCACTCAGATGAACCATGGCCAAATTGAGCACATGGTAATGGTTAGGGAAATTGGTTGAGAAGAAGGTCGACATAGGAGACCTTCAACAAGAGCTTTCGTGAGG